TAGTCTGTGTAAGTAACTTGATAATGGTTTTATAATAACTTGTTTATTTTTTTACTAAGCAGTAATTTTTACTCCTACTATACTAATTTAGTATAAATTATATCAAAATGTTATTTCCGAGAGAGAACATTTAAAAACTAAAAGTTTTGATACTTAGCTCGAAAAAAAAATTATGTGTACCGTTTTATTTAAAATTGGGCGAGAACTTATGAGGGCGCCTAACTCTGGATGAAACTTTTCATCTCAAATTCTCTTTCACCTTCATAACTAAATAAAAATTCAAGCGATGGAAAAATTGAGTTCAGACAAACCTAGATAAAGCCATGAAGTTTCAAGTACTGGAAAGATATTTTAAAGATATCAGAATGAAAATCATGAGAAGATATTTTTGGACTACGCAATGGAGAAGTTCCTCTTCAATAATTTGTTTGCATTTTGATATTTTTTAAAAAAAAGTTTCAACAATAGAAGCTTCATGGCTTACATTAGGTTCGTCTGAACTCACTTTTTCTACACTTTAAATTTTAAATGGAGGTGAAATAGAATTTGAAACGAAAAGATTGTCCCTCGGTGTGGCATCCTCTTAAGAGGACGCCATATCTCGGAAGAAAATTTTCGTCGCAAATTCTATTACTACTTCATTACTAATTTAAAATGTAGAAAAAGTGAGTTCAGACAAACCTAGAGTGAACCATGAAGTTTCAAATACTGAAAAGAAAATTTTAAAATATGCAAATGAAAATAAATTATGAGATGATAACTAAGGATTATGCAACGGAGAAGTTCTCGTCTAATATTTTGTTTACATTTTAATATTTTGAAGTATTTTTTTCAGCTATTGAAACTTCACGACTTACTCTAGGTTTGTCTGAACTTACTTTTTCGTTCTTTTAAATTTTAAGTAAGTACTGAAGGTGAAAGATAATTTGAAATGAAAAGATTCTTCCTTGGGGTGTGGCATCCTCTTAAGATTTCACCGGATTCATTCATCTAATGGGATCTTGAAAATATTCAATTCTGAAGGGTATTCAAACTGGTACCATCGGGGTTCTCAGAAAGTGATAACATTTCTTAGAGAATAAAGAGGATATTCAATAGAAATGTCAGAACGACTAATAGAATATTTTTGAATTGTATTTTCATTCCTTGAAAATTTGTTAATGATAACTTCTCAATCGATAATAACGAATTTGTCACTTAAAAGAAAATTGCTGCTTATCTTCTGGGGAAGTATTGTCAAGTGTTGGAGATAATGAATAGTCTCAAAAATTCTTTCTTAGTATATCAGTAGTACATGGTGAACAACCTAATCGGATTATCCCTCAAGAGTGACAATTGTCAACCTAAACTATTAAAAATTACTTGATTTGCATGTCACAGAGACAGAATTAAGCAAGAAAATAAGAATTTGAAATCACTCATGCTTGTTAAATAGCAGAAAATATTTTAATGAGCGACTAACTTTCTCAAGAGTATCAGTATAATTGGTAGGCGAAAAAAAACTATTTTGCTAAATTATAAACCTAAAGATAGGTAACTTTTTAACTGTGAAGAATAAAATAAAAATATTATATTTCACAATTAAATATGACCTTGTTGAACATAGAAATTTTTCGAGAATTAATATTGGAAATAATCTGAAAGTTTAATGTAATGAATAAATTTAAATGAATTTTTTTTTTTACAATTTCAAATCAATAAACTTTTTGATTGTTTTATGTATAACATCCTTCTAACTACGAAATAATCAGGACTATCAACTGAGTTCTGATATAAATCTAGTTCAATGTAAGAAATTTACGAACTTGTGAGTTGAAAGAAATTAATTGCCCTTGTTTTTTAATTAAGTTCCTATTCTAATTAGCATCCTATTTGTTCCTATTTTAATTACTTTTTAATTAACATCCCATTTGTTCCTATTTTAATTACTTTTTAATTAACATCCTATGTCACTTATTGCATACCAAAAGAGGGATAAGACATCATTTTACGTGTTGCACACGCACAGAGGAAGCTTATAAGAAAAGCAGTTGCGGAATTGTTTTTGCTTCGAAATATTTCAAACGGGATGTCACAGAAATGTTTCTCTAAGCACTTTTTTATAATATTTCATTCTCGATGTTTCAGAAACATGTTTATTATCATTTTCAGAATTTTTCTACGTATCTTCCTAACTGTTATGTATTTGTTACATTTCTCAGAGTTCATATGCTGTACGGGTTGAAACAATGTTAAAAAGCTCCACCACTTTGGCTCTCGTTTTAAAGGCTTTGGTTCGGGTTTGTGATAGAAAGGGAATCTCTTTCTTCGTTCCATAATGTTAGTCATAGAGTAAAGAGAAGCTACCCTCCCTAAAATGAGCTATTCTTTTTCTGATAGCAGCAGTCGGCCTCAAACTTTGTTTCGGGGGAGGGGGTGTTCTTACCGTAGACAAACTATATCTAGTCCTGTCACATTAAGGACTAATCACTAAAGCCAAAAGTCTTAGTCGCCCAAGGGCACACATTATGCGATGAAAAAGTCAGATGCCCGTTCCGCGGGCAGGCACTTTGAACAACCCTATATCTAGTCTAGTCTTAGGACTAGTCAGTCACATTAAAAGTCTAATTTTTAGCGGAAATAAGAAGACTTATGCTGCTCTGCCATCGATTTTCCCTCTCATATCTTAGATTGCATTGGTACCTCAGTGGGGCAGCTGTTAAATGGAGGGGATATAGTTTTGGATTTAATTGCGCGACATGATCTTTTGAATTTGGTTTAGTTTGTCTAAGCCAAGGTGGATAAGCAGCAACAATAACAGTAATATATATTTTTAGATTTTTGGTAAGCATATTTATTTTTAATTAATTTACGTTAAAAAATTAAGCATTATCCGAACTGGTTTTCATAAATTTAAACTAATAGAATTAAAATTAAAAAAATCTGAAAACAGACAAATGTGTAATTTTAATTTACTTACTCATAACCATAAACCGCATAATTTTATTGCTTCACAATTTTGAGAAAAGTCAATAGAAGAATTAGAAAATTATTATGAGTTGGTTTTGTTAATCCAACAAAGCGAATTCTAACTGTTAATCTAACTGTCAAATGACGTTTCATCATCAAAAGTTTGTTAGAAAGACTTATCAAAATTAAAGCACGCTACTCGTGTTTCATAGCAAGATTATTTCATTCAACAAGCCTTTATTTTCATTTTATTCTCAAATGGGTTCTTCTTAAATATTAGAAGTTCAAACAAAAGTACTGCATTCTAAAAAATTGCGGATCAAATTACAGTATAAAATGCCAGCAGTTTTGTCATACATAAACCATTTTACCATAAAATATTATATATTACGCAATTTTGAAAGTAGTATTTATTTAAAGCGATTCAGTAATTTTACGGTAATTATTACTCCAAAAATTACGGTATATTAGATTCTCTGATCCGTAACATTTTCTGGTAAAAACAGATTTTACGGTAAGAAATAACAGCACGGCGAGTGCCGGCACTTTTTACCGTTATTTGATACGATATTTTTTACAGTGTAGTGCATTGCCAGCAATTTCATTATGTAATAATATTAGACATCTGATTCAAATCAATTTAATTAGAGAAAATTGATTATAATAACATGCATTTCTAATTTTTATTTAAAATACACATGCTGTCCAATGAGTTAGGAACGTGGCTCTTTAAGGGATCTTAAAGTCTTTATAGACAATGCACGGTTATTCCTTATGCATAAAATATTAATCAAAATTATCTAATTTCTTGGTGAGTGTGTGCAAATGCTAAAGTGAAACTTTAAAATGTGAGTAATTCAACCATTTATGCGCAAGCTATGTATGAAAAACCTATGGAGACTGATGTATGTAAAACTACTATCTGAAATAAGGGATAATACATATTTGTTTGTACTAAGTGCATATTTCTTTCTGTTGGTTTCCACTTTAACTTATAAAAATTAATGTGGCTTACTTCAGACCTGCTTATATTATATTATACAGTGTGGTAGGCAAAGCTTCCTTGTTTTCGCAAAATAATCGTAGCAATGAATCATTTGTGCTACTACTTTTTTCCATTTTATAAAAAAAGTAGATTTAAATTGACTCATGGCACAAATGGGTTATGCTTTATTTCTACATTAATGACAGTTTATTTATAATAGATCATTTGTATTCAATTATCAAAAAAAAAAATTATTTTAAATATTTTTAGAAAAAATGGTAAAATTGCAACCTTTAAAAAACACTTTTATAGATGAAGTAAACTATTTATTTATAATATTTATGTGAATTTTATTGAGCGCAATTTGTTCTGATTCTAAAATGCAAATTATTTATCTTTTTATATTAGCACTTGCATAAACCAAGTAAGAAATATTAATATTAAATAGTATAGAAAAAAGATTAAATAAAATTAAAACGATAGCAAGATTTTTTTTATTTTACAAATGGCAACTGAGATGATCGAAATGGGTTCACTTTGCGCATGCGCAATGATGGCCTCCAACCATAAGAGGAAGAGTTTGTAGATAACCAATCATACGCCTTTGCTCAGGATGATTATAGTCACGTCATCAGAATCGACACGCCCTCTGATGTACACTATCTCCCCCAGTGCACTATACTTTATTATTCCATAGTTGGTTGTTATCACTAGCAGACGTGAAACAGAATTAAATATTATGTAAAATGGCTGAAAGCGCACCACTAGATATGACGAAATTAGTGCGCCCGTTTGATTTAAGTTCTTCTTGCCAAGAAGGTAATAGGTGCAATTTTAGACAGACGCCTAGATTTCGTGAAAATATCGTCTGCCGTTTTTCTTTGAAAGGCATTTGCATGTTTGGTGATAATTGTTGGTATTCTCATCCAAAAGCTGAAGANATTTACGTCGCACTAGAGCTGCACAATGGGCTATTGGCGACGGTCTGGGAAACATCCCGGAGGATGATCCGAAGACATGCCATCACAATTTTGATCCTCTGCGGAGGGGATGGCACCCCCGCACCACTAGATATGACGAAATTAGCGCGCCCGTTTGATTTAAGTTCTTCTTGCCAAGAAGGTAATAGGTGCTATTTTAGACAGACGCCTAGATTTCGTGAAAATATCGTCTGCCGTTTTTCTTTGAAAGGCATTTGCATGTTTGGTGATAATTGTTGGAATTCTCATCCAAAAGCTGAAGATGATGTTTATTATATATCTCAACCTTGTAGTGAAGAGCAGAATACTGGTCATTTACAGCAACAGACAGGGAATATGGATATTTTTCCCCGCCGAAAAAAATTTTCAAAATTTCAACACCAGTTTAAATGGTGAGGCATCTCTTTGTCGTGAATCAGATTTACACGACTGGATAAATGCACCTGAATTCGTGCCAGCAAGCAGCAAATATTTAGCCACTGCTTCGAATTCAAATGACAGTGTTGATAGTTCAGAGCCACAAAAGTTGGATATGGAATTCTGCCCGCATTTCTTCGATGGTGTTTGTCCATTCGACGATTGCCCATGCATCCACGGAGAGTTATGTGAACTGTGTCAAAGATATTGCTTGGATCCTTTTGATGAAAAGCAGCGAGGTCTTCATATTGCAGTCTGTAGGCATGAGCGAGATACGGATATTCGACGTGATTTGTCATGTGGTATATGTTTGGATATCGTAATGGAAAAAGATCGAGTTGCAGAGCGTCGATTTGGTATTCTCGAGAATTGCAATCATGTGTTTTGTTTATCCTGCATCATTAAATGGAGAAATGTGAGAAATTTTCATGAGGAAGATTTAATAGATCCTGCTGTTACTCGTGCTTGTCCCGAATGTAGAGTGCCGTCTAGATTTTACATACCCAGTAAGAAATGGGTTCATTCCGAAGGGGAAAAGGAGATATTAATTGCTGACTATAGAAAGTCTTTGAGCACAAAGCGTTGTAAATATTTCAAAAACGGTAAATGAATTTGCCCCTTTGGGGAAGAGTGTTTTCATCTTCACGCATTGCCTGTTATTCCATCAGCAGCTGCCCAGACACCTCGCTTTAGTAATAGAATGTTTAGGAACTCAAGAAGATGGTGAACAATTTCGAATCCACAATGTGCCATTGTATATGAAAGTAGTGACAATTCGTTTGTAGGAAGTGCACAATTTGTTTAGATTTAACTATGCAAGAATTTTTTATTATGTTCTGCTGAAATTCTCTTTTTATTTATGTTTAGTGCATTTGACAATGGTAACTGCAATTATTTTATTTTAGAATTGCTTCCTTTATTTTAACCTTATTCGTCGATTCTACTACACATGTTTTGAATTTATGATTTTTTATACATACTTTTTTTAAGCTATTTTGAGTGTAAAACTTAAAGCGAGTCTTATTTAATAATGATAATAGTTAATTTTGGAAATAATCTATATTAATGTTAACGTATTTCAGCCTAAATAGTAGTTTCTAAAAAATTTTCTATCAATATGTTTCTAAAAAACCCTATGTTTAGTGTTATATAAGTGTAACTTTTAATTGTTAAGTAATAATTAAATTTCTGAGTATTTTATTATTATTATATGTTTATGAAAGTAAAATTAAAAAAAATTTCTGGATTATTAAACATGGTATATGATAAAAATTTTTGAATCTTCAATGTGACATACAAATGAATATATATGTTAATGTACAAAGAAAGCTTTTGTAAAAAGTGCAATATTTGTTTAGCTTTATCTGTGCAAGAATTTTTTTATTATGTTCAGCTAAAGTTCTCTATTAGTGTGATGATATAATTCCTGTTCATTGCATTTAATATTTGTTAATGTGAGTTATTAACAATTTTTTTTTCAATTATGCCTTTTTTCAACCTAATTCTTCGATTCCACAACACATGCTTTGAATTTATGTTTTTCTATAAATATGTTTTCGTGAATGAAATCTATATATAAATGCTATGGTTAATCTATGGATGAATGCTAATTTTTGAATTATATTTGAAAATGTATATATTTTGCTCTAATCTGCAGATTTGAATTTATAGTTATCTATTAATATACTTTTTTTTAAAAAAATAAAGAGTAGCTATATTTGATAATTTTATGAATTTTTTTTTTAAATAAAGTATGTTCCCATTTTTCTATTCTGCTTTAATGTCTTAATTTTTATTACCGTTCATTTATTTTGTTTCGTAAAGTCAAGTAATGGTGTTTAAGTTAGAATTTTATGACATGTTACAATATGGTACTGCTTCTGTTCTATTAATTAAAAAGCAAGACAATTTAACGATATTTTTTTTTTATAGTTCTTCTGAATTTTGCAAGATTAAGCTTAGCATGCAAACATTAATAGCGAAATTTTTCTCCTATTTTACAGGGCAGTTGTTTCCTACTTTATCACCTCATAAAACGCATTTTTTCTTCAGATAATATTTTCTCACAATAATAATGTGATAGTTTCATGATCTTGAAAAAATTAATTTCGTATTAACAGTTTCAATTAGAATTATGTTATTTAATTAGAATAATTGCATAATGGAAAGGCGATCATATAGCGTGAATCTTGATTTTCAAAAACGGATCATTAATTAATTCCTTAATTTTTGTTTGTAAAATATACTATTTTGTAAAAGATATTTGCATTTAAGACATATTATAAAAGTAAATATTGTTTTATTTTGTAAAGAAAGAAGAAACTTGGGAATATGTATAATAATTTTCTTAAATATTTATTTTCATTAAGAAATGCATTGATTTTTAATAATTATTTTCCCATGTATTTTATAAAAATATGCTAATTCTTTCTCATAGTTAAAACAATGTAGAGTATTTCTAACATATAATTTAATTATTTATTATAAATATTAAATTCTAGACAATTTTAAGTAACATTTTAAAAAGTATTTTTCAATTTTAATCACTTTACTGTCTACATTTTCAAAGGAATTATGGACAAAAAAGAAAACATCTTAAATTAACTCGTGTGCATAGATTAAAATTCAATTAGTTTAGTTCAAAGGGAAAATCTTAAAAGTTGCGTTTCAGGGAATTGAAGTTTAATAATGGACCGGAAAAATACAGCATTTTTATCAACGTAATTTTAAGTGACAAAATTTGATGGTATAGTTTCCGAGTTAAGAATTTTCAAATCTTTATTTCTCAAAGACTTTTTGTCACTTTATATTATGTTAGCTAAAATGAGGGGAAAATTTTTCTGTATTTATACTCAAAATTGGTAATCATTAAAAAAAATGCGAAAAATAACTATTTAACTTTTTCGTATGGATATATCTTCAGATGAACAAATTAGATATGCGCAAAAAGTTAGTGATTCTCTAAAAAAAGTCCAGTGTTAAAAATTAATAACAATAAGGAACAAGAACTTTGGACGGCTCGCCTGACAAAACTATGAAGACCATGCTTTCCAGATTGCGGTAACGATCCATGTTTTGGTGGTCAATAATTCTATTAAAAAAGAGCACTTTATTAAAAAAGAGCTATAAGTATTCAAAATAACTACGTGTTTGCGTTTGATTACTTAACTTATTTACATGCAAATAGTAATTAATTTACACCTTCAAAGTCTACCTTTTAAACCAATATTAATGGTATATAAAATGATGGAATAATTTAATATAAAATGAAAAAAAAACGGTATAATTTGGTATGAAATAGTATAATTTTAAATAAAATGAAAAATAACAGCAATAGTTTTTAGGTAGATTAGATTTGGAAAGTTAAGATTGATCTCCCTGACTAACTTTTTATGTAGTGATGGGTTATTCATGTTGTAGGACTCAATTTTAAAGGTTCGAGAGGGTGAATAATTAATTAACAAATTGGAAGTCATACCCTCGAACCTTTAATTTTGAGTCCTAAAGCGTGAAAAATAGATCATTAGATAAAAAATTAGTCTGGATGATCCACTTTTTTTTTCTTTTTTTTAACTTGCTCACTATATATTGTTATAAAAGCCCACCCCTTTCCTTAGAGATATTCGAAAATTTGCATAATATTAAAAATATATTAAATACACAAAATAAACTAAATTTCCAAAGTGTATGTATATATATATATATCCCGTATGAACAATCCTTTTTCTTTTTTTTTTACTACTAAATTTCTTAGTTTCTTCACGACACGATTCAAAGAAGTGATGCCATCTATGTTTACAGAAAATAAATAATTGTTAAAATGGCAAATAAAAACTTAATTAGCAGTTGGAACTAGCTATAAAGGAAGTGGTGCTAAAAGGGGAGGAATTGGTACTTAATTTCTTAGAAGAAAATAAAGATCATCAAACATCCTATCATTCCCTTAATTAATATTCGCTGTCGAGAAGGGCATAAGAAGTTGAATGTTGTATTAACTGAATAAATTCGAAAAAATCTGCTTTAGAATAACAAACTAACTCATGTAAATTTTATAAATATTTCTAAATTATTCTTCATGTTAGCTCTTCATGCAATAATTCTTTTTAAGCCAATTTTTTATCCAAAACCATTTTGAAGATAGGTGTAGTCACTAAACATTTAAAAAGCAGTAGTTGTATTTGTTGAAAAGTTATAGTTGTTCTAAACTAAAAATTGTAGTTTTTCCGATCACTAATAGCACCATACCGATTCCATTTATCTTTTTCATTCGACAGATGTAATGCTGAAATATTCCACTCTACAATAAAGGTTGTCGAATATTTTTTAGAAGTACCTATTCATCTTGACATAAAATTGTGAATCATCAGTTTTCTTTCCTATCGGTGTGAAAATGAATTTTTCATTCATGTTGAGAGAATAAAAATTTCAAAGACAATTCCATTTAAGCTTTCTTTAAAAAGCATATTTCATATTAAGAATGTTCACATAAGCAACATTCGATTGTATTTTGAATTTAGATAAAGCCAAATTTCAAAAAATGGTTTAAATAAAAATAAAATTTTCAGTTCAGAAATTAAAAAAAGAAAGAAAAAAAACTTCCTCAGGTGGTTAATGCATCTTCATTCCCCTCCTTAGAAGATAATAGACAAAGAGATAGGCTTTCAAAAGCATGACTACTAATCAAGAATTACCAATCAATTTCGGCACAATTTACGTTCTGCGATCTTTTATTTCTTTCTATAATTAAAATTCTAATTCTTTGATTTAGGCTGAAGAGCATACTCTTTGTTTACGAAAAAACTTGCAACAATGTCGCTTAATGGCAATTATCATTGCTTATGATATAATTGTAGATATTATCAATATCTATCTCTCCTCATAAGCGTTATCTTTTCTACCCTGTAAGGTGGAATTAAGCAACAGAGCTTTCTTGGTTTTATATGAGCTATTTTGCTAAATTAAAATTTTCCCGCAGAAAAAAAAATCAAAGTGCATTAAAAACTAATAAATTCATATTATTCCAGTTTAATTGTGTTTGATTTGACTTGATTTAGCAGAAATTTTAATTCTTAGATTAATTTTTACTTTATTTTTTTAATTATTATACTGAATTATAGGCAAACTTTCCCAGATTTATCTCATTGAGAAATCCAAATTGTCAGTATCAGATCATTTTCTTTATCAGTCTGTTAAATAAAAGTTTATTTTGATAAGTCGATGAAAATTCTGAGAAGTACAAATTACAAAAAGTTTGGCAATGTGCCTTTAATTCAGCATCCTCAAAAATGGTTTAAAAAAAAATTAAGAAAGAAGAAATTCCCGATATAATATGAAAGCTCACTTTAGCCACTTGCTTTCCGTTCTAAAAAAAATCCTGTAAATTCTTGGTAACATTTCAGCTGTTATAGACATTTTTATATTATGACTCCATCTAATAAATAGGCATCAGTAATCGTCTGTGTAAATAACTTGAAAATGGTTTTATAATAACGTGTTTATTTTTTTACCAAACAGTAATTTTTACTCCTACTGTACTAATTTAGTATAAATTATATAAAAATGTTATTTCTCAAGAGAGAACATTTAAAAACTAAGGCTTGTGATACTTAGCTCGAAAAAAAAATTATGTGTGCCGTTTTATTTAAAATTGGGCGAGAACTTATGAGGGCGCCTAACTGTGGATGAAACTTTTCGTCTTAAATTCTCTTTCACCTTCATAACTAATTTAAAGTATAGAAAAAGTGAGTTTAGACAAACCAAGATAAAGTCATGAAGCTTCAAATACTAGAAAGAAATTTTTAAGATGTGAAAATGAAAATCATGAGAAAATATTTTAGGACTACGCAATGGAGAAGTTCTCTTTCAATAATTTGTTTGCATTTTGATATTTTTAAAAAAAAAAGTTTTAGCAATAGAAACTTCATAGCTCACATTAGGTTAGTCTGAACTCACTTTTTCTACACTTAAAATTTTAAATGGAATTGAAAAAGAATTTGAAACGAAAAGATTGTCCCTCGTTGTGGCATCTTCTTAAGAGGGCGGAAAGTAAATTTTCGGAAGAAAATTCTATTTTTCATTCATTACTAATTTAAAAAGTAGAAAAACTGAATTCAGACAAACCTAGAGTTAGCCTTTAAATTTCAAATACTGGAAAGAAAATTTCAAAATATGCAACTGAAAATAAATTATGAGACAATAACTAAGAATAACGCAACGGAGAAGTTCTCTTCTAATAATTTGTTTGCATTTTAATATTTTGAAGTATTTCTTTCAGCTATTGAAACTTCACGACTTACTCTAGGTTTGTCTGAACTTACTTTTTCTTTCCTTTAAATTTTAAGTAAGTACTGAAGGTGAAAGAGAATTTGAAACGAAAAGATTCTCACTTGGGGTGTGGCATCCTCTTAAGATTTCACTAGATGCATTCATCTAATGGGATTTTGAAAATCTGCTTTTTAGAAAATATTCAATTCTGAAGGGTATTCAATCTTGTATATCATCAATGATGCATAGAGAATGAAGTTCTGATGTTCTCAGAAAGTGATAACATTTCTTGGAGAATAAAGAAGATATTCAATAGAAATGTCAGATTGTCTAATAAAATATTTTTGAATTGTGTTTCCATTCCTTGAAAATTTTTGAATGTTAATAATAACTTCTCAATGGATAATAAAAAATCTGTCACTC